CTAGACTAAGGCAGGAAGTGCTTTATGCTCCCAGCCCAGATGGGATGGATAATGTGTCACATTGTGGGGTGTCAGGGCCCAGAAATTACCTTTTTGAAAGGATGGGCATTTGCCACAAATAATGAGAATTAATTGTAATTAAAATTGCCAGGTATGGTAACCTTCTATACTGTCAGTCTTACATGGCATAGGGTGATTGCCACATGAACATGGTAAAAGGGAACTTGGTGATGAAAGTTTAAGCAGAGATCAGTGGGGTTGCAGATGACAGAGTCTTCTATGAGTCAGTGGCAATGCTAAAACTGACCTGGGATTCCTAGCCGTTCCAGAGATCTCCATCAACATCTTGTAACAGCCTTAAATGTAATACAGCTAGGTATGAGCATGTTTTTGTTGTGCACATATAGCTTTAAGGGAGGTCTCAAGTACAAGTTCTCCATTTCCTCATCCATCTCTAAGAAAAAAGACCTCATGAAGTTTCTCCTCTATGGGACATTCGAAGCTGTGTGTTACATAAACTGCTTGGGCTGAGATCACTGAGCTGCCATTCTCTGTGGCACATGAGAGGAGGAAGATGGGGGAATGGTTCAGAGCAAAAAATTGAGATATTACTAACTCTAACAGGATCCCTTACTCTTATCCCAAGCTCTCTTGTTCCAGAATCCTTTTTCTTTCTTCTAAGTTTATTTTTCAATTATAATTGACATACTATATTAAGTTAGTTTCACGGTGATTTTACATTTCTATAATTTATGAAGTCATCATCATGGAAGTCTCATACCCATCTGACCCATACACAGTTAATACAGTATTATCAACTATATTCCCTATAGTCAATATAGTCCCTACTGTACTTTGCATCCCCATGACTATTTTTGTAATTGGTGATTTGTACTTCTTAATCCTTTTCAACTTTTTTTTTTACCCACCCCTCTAATGCTCCTCTCATCTGGAGATCATCAGTTAACTCTCTGTTTCTATGAGTTTGTTTCTATTTTGTTTGTTAATTTATTTCATGTGGGTTTTTTTTTATTCCGCATATAAGTGAAATTCTATAGCATTTGTCTTTCACTGTCTAAAAATTTTTCTTAGCAGAATACCCTCTACATCCATTCATGTTGCCATATTGTCACAAATGGTAAGATTTCATTATTTTTTTATGAATCATATTTCATTGTGTTGAGTCATATTCCATTGTGTATATGTACCACTTCTTTATATAATCATCAAAATCCTGTTTTTCTTTCTCTCACCCACTCTTCCTTAATCACTTACTTAAGAGAGAAAAAGTATTCTTCTCTGGATGGGTCCAACCTCTTTCATCACCACTACGCAAGCTAATACATCCTGGCCATGAGCTGTGCAGTAGGAAGAGTTGCAGTTGCAGGTCTCTGGCAGATACTGATGCTGACAGGAAAATTCTTCTTTTGGGCAAGTGACAGTGACTTGACTAGCCTCTCCCCATAGGAATCCCCCTCCCCATACACACACAGCAGGATGTTCCCATTATTACATGACCAGTTGATTCCTCCTGTCTCCTAATTTCTGAATAAATTTCTAAAGGGTTGAGGTTCCTCACCTAGGGTGTTACCAGGGTGAGTCCAGCTGTGCCCCATGGAATGGTGATAACTTGGAGGACCCTGGCATTCTTCTAGAGATGCTTGACTTCAAGTCTCTTCAAATAATAAAGTCCCAACCAATAATAAAGCTCTACTTCAGCACTGGGTGTCACTTGTGAAGTTAATGCCTAGACTACATTCTGCCCACAGGTTTTCTTAATGGGATGAAGCTTAGATCAGCCTGAGGTTGGAACAGCTTGATAGGCCCAAGTAGATAAAGAATTGCTTTAATGCCTCTCATTCCAGGAATACCTTTGGGCCCAGAAATCCCCTGAGGGTCTCTTTTACTGGAGTATCCATGTGTCCTGGCCATTTATGAGGACAGTCCTGATTTACCCCTCTTATCCCAGCATCCCATTTTCCGCTCAATAGTATCCCCATTTCACAATAAATGAGATGACTGCCCTATAGCAAACCTATCTGTGCTCAATTTCACCTGAGAAAGAATGGATGGCATGCCCAGGATTGGTCCAGAATGACCCACTTAGATTCTAGAGAAAGAGGCAGATGCAGAATAAAATAACTTCCCAGTGCCTGGGGGTGGAATTTTGGGAGCTGTGCTGTCTGAGACACATCCTTGCTGTAAACATGAGCTTCAAGAGAGGTCTCAAGTACCATGGCTGTAAAGATTTGAAGAAAGGACCCTTCCCTGGTTGAAGTGGCATGTTGGGTGGGGACCAGATGGATTTTGTAACTTTCTCCACCTCTATTATGTCTCTGGCATTGAGTCATTCATCCTCCAGAAGCCATTTCTTCCTTCCTCACCTTGATAAACCCCAGGTGCCAACCAGAAACTTCTCCCACATCCTCCCACCTGTTTATGCCTCTGTTTTTAGCACCCCCAAGATCACAATCACCAAGCCCACAGACCCCATTTCTTTTCTGTGAGGGTAACCTACCTCCACCTTGATGTTTGCCCTACTTTTGCTCAGTTCTCTCCTCACAGATCTTCTGGAACAAACCCCTGTCAACAATCCCCAATACCCCATCCCCCTACACCTCATCCCCCACCACTCTTACCCTATAACATACAGTCCCACAATAACCCATCCCCAATGTCCTCATTCCTCAATATCCCATCTCTCAACACCCCTGTCCCAGTCCATTCCCTCTGGCCCACGCAATGCCCTGTTATCTCTGAGGCATTGACTATCCCTTTAGCTGCTCATCTCCCCATCCCACCCTTGAAAGAAACCACCACACATGTCTAAAGAATGGAAGGTGCTGCTTTTTGTGCTTTTTTTTTTTTTTTTTTTAGTCTAGGACATAAACTTTGTCTTCTTTGTATTGGGACTTTTTTTTTTTTTTAGCCATTACAAAAACAAATAAGCAACAACAACAACAAAACTGTACTGAAATTAGAGCAATTTAGAGATTATTGTGACTGATGGGAAGTTATAGTCATGTGATGATTTTTTTAGGCCAGCTCTGCCCTGGGCCACATCCTTTTCTGACCCACGTGAGATGATTCAGATAACCCTCTCACCTCCAGTTCCTAGACACTCAGTGTAGTGGGGTGACTAGTGTCCACCCTTAATTTGTGCCAACCCAATGTGACCTAATTTGGAAATAAGGTTTTTGCATATATAAATGTTAAGGATCTCAGGAAGAAATTCTTCTGAAGTTAGAGTGTGTCCAAAATCCAATAACTTCTGCCTTAGTAAGAAAAAGGAGATGGACGCTTAGATACAGATATGTAGGGAAGAAAGCGATGAAGGAAGACAGAAGGTTGAAATGAGGCTTCCACAATCCTAGGAATGGGAAGAAGCAAGGAACAATTCTCCCCTAGAATTGTTCTAGGGGAGAATTGTGTATATATAAGTGTGTGTGTGTGTGTGTGTGTGTGTGTGTGTGTTTGATGTCAAAGAGAAAGGGAGATGAAGAGAGAGTTGAAACATCAATGATGAGAAAGAATCATTGATCAGCTGCCTCCTGAACACCCCCCGCACTGGGGATCCAGCCTACAACCTGGGCATGTGCCCTGACCAGGAATTGTACCATGACCTCCTGGTTCATAGGTCGACATTCAATTACTGAGCCACACCGGCCACTGGCTGGGATCCCTTAGAACTTTGAAGGGAGTGCGGCCCTACTGACACCTTGATTATGGATTTATGGCTCCAGGGCTATGAGAGAATAAATTTTGTTTTGAAATCATCAAGATTGTGGTTCTTTGTTATAGCAGCACTGGAAAACAAATATTATACATGCAGGACTCAAGGTCTCTTCATACTCTTACTGTGGGTCCTGCACCAGAGTTTGGGAGCAGCAGCTCCAGTGTCACCCTGTGATTATTACACCATCCTGGTCTTGACTTGGAAATGTTTCCTGAATTGCCATCTTCAGCAGAACGTGCCAATGTTTCCCAGCTTACCAGTCAGTTGATCTATGTATGGACTGTGGTTTCTTTACCTGTGAAGTGGGGAGACTAATACTTGCTTTTAGGGTTGTTGTGACAGAAACTGGGACAACACATGGGTCAGTGCCCAGCCCTGAGTCTGAAGCCAGGCAGGGCATCAATAATCTTCATCTTCACCACTCTTTCTTAGCTTTCAGACTTTCTTCTTATCCCTGACATTTGGCTTCAAGTAACTTACACGTGAACTCTGTCCCTCCATCTCTGCCATCTTTTCTCTAATTGCTCCCCACCTCCTCTAGTGCAGTAAATGTGACCTGCATGTAGAGTTTACTGAATAAGATAACCATCTACCCAAGTGGATGCACTCAGTGTGCTGTATCTGGAGTGGTTTGGTCTCCATCCCTTCAGGTGAAGTTGCCCATTGGAAGGGCTATGTGGCTATAGCACATCAGTCCCACTGAACCCTGTCTTGTGTCTCCATCCCTCTCCCAGGGCCTGACCCCATGTGTCCTGCCTCTAGGAAATCAGGTTTCATGGGTCAGTATTTTTAACTCTGTGCTTTCTTTAGGATTCTAACCTAGACATGCAGAATAGAACTAAATAAATCTGGTGCTGAAATCCAGAAATGAGGTAAGATGGAGGTGTTAACAGACACAGATAAAACGTAAATGTGTAATAAATGAAACTTGAATCTGGTATTGAGAAATGACAGGGCTTTCTAAGCCACTGGTATGCATTGCCTTCTGTCTTATACTGAAGTGGGGGTTATGGTTTTCCTGTGCTCATTATTTTTCAAGAGCCTAGCACTTGACCCCCTCAGACTAACCCTATGTACTGGGGCCCAGAATGCCTGGTATATACTATAAGGTCCACCCTTTACCAGGATGAACAGAAGAAAGCAGCACTGGTCAGAGAGAAAAGTCAGTCACTCCATATGCCTGAGAGGTGGTGGTGTTTCACTCAACCAGAAGATGGGTCTTTGAAGGGCAGAATTCCATAGACACTCACAAAACACTACCAGGTCCAGCATGACATTTTTATTGATTTAGTTCATCTCAAGACTCAGGATTGAGGAACTCAGTCTGCAAGGCAGCAGAGAGAAGGGACAGATACTCATGTAAATAGGAGATAAGAGGGTGAAGAGAGAGAATACCTCATTGGGAACACAGACTGGAAGAATTTGAAGATGAACCTAGGGTATGGATTAAAAATGACTGAGGATGTCCTTTTGGAACTGGTCTCAGGAATCCTTTTTCTTGAGCTGCAGAAGAGAGAACACTGTCAGGGTCCCAGGGGCCATGAACAGCAAGAGTAAGTCAGAGGAAACCAACTCTTTGGGGTAGGGCAGTCTGATTCTCCCCATCCTCCAATGCTGAATTCTATAAAGATCCCTATACTTTCTGCCCAAACTGGTGGTCTAGTTATAATTCCCTGGAGGTAAAAGGGCTAAAGTCAGGCTCTGAGACCTCTTCCTATCCCATGGGTGATGTTTCACCCACTCCCTCCATCCTGGCTGTCCACCCTACCCTCCTCACCATGGCCATCAGCACCAGGGCGCTGACCAGCACCGCATACACAGTGGCCTTCCCCAGCAGGATCTCATAGAGGATGGTGGCAGACAGGACTCCTTGCTGGTAGGATGCTGTTGGTAGGAAAGGAGAGCAGGTACATACTTTTGAGCAGATATCTCTGCCCCACCCTCAACCCCCCTATCCCAGGGTCATGGGTCATCCATCCTCTGCTTCCAAAGACCAGGGGAGAATGAGAGGAAGAAGCAGAGGGTCACTTACCTGAGGTGAAGCCACAATCTGAAAGAAAGAAGAGAGAGGGGAATGAATGAGCAGATGAAGCACAGTCAGCCTTGCAAACAGCACACTTCAGGCCCAGACCAGAGGAGTCTAGCACTGCCTTCCTGGGTGCCAATATAGCCACACCATCCTTGAAATTCATGAGACACACGTGGCAACTCTGAAGGGGATGGGGACACACCACAGAGATGCTGAGCTGCCCAGGCCAGTAGTAAGGGGCCCAGCTGCAAGGCTGTGCTGGCTGGGGATCTGAGGAGGAATTAGCCCAAGGTGCCTGTTCTGCTTCATGATGGGCTCTCATCTTCCCACCCAACTTCTTAAAAAAAAAAATCTAATTGGGTCTTTGTAGCCTTCTACCTGGATCTCCCTTTCTCTCTGGCCTGACTCCCTCCTTGTCTAACCCACCCAGGCTCTGCTCACCTGCTCTGCCCCAGGCCTCAGCACTGACGTTCTGGGTGATGGCTGTGGGCCGGGCATCCTTGTCTGCCTCATCTAGCCCAAAGAACTGGACTTGGCAGCGGAAGTGGTTGCGAGGATTGTGCCAGAAGGTGGCAGAGACCCTGAGCCGGCTGCTCAGACAGTAGGTGGAGTTCTCAAGGTGGGGCTGCTCCTTGTAGGGCTGAGGGTCTGTGCTGACCCCACTCTGGATCTTCTTCCCATTCACCCACCAGCTCAGCTCCACGTGGTCGGGGTAGAAGCCTGTGGCCAGGCACACAAGTGTGGCCTTCTGTGTCCGGGCAATCTCTGCTTCGGATGGTTCGAACACATTGACCGTGGGTGGGTTCACCTGTTCCAGGTCATCTGGAGGGGAAGAGGGATTAGGAATAGAGCTGGTCTGAGAGCTGTCTAGGTTTGGTAGGAGCTGTGAGTGTGCATGCATGTGCATGTGTGTGTTTGAAGAGAAGAAAGGTTGTCATAAAGCAAAATTATGTAGTAGGTCCTGTTTGTTTGGATATCACCATCTGCTGTCTCTCCGTCCTCTAAGGTGGCATGATAAATGGCACTGCCTAATATTCTGAGTATGTTATTTGATTTCTTCCCATCAATAAAAGCTCCCTGTCTACTTCCCACCATAATACCTAGTAATTATTTAAATAGAGCACTGGATTGGAACCCAAATAACAGGATCCAAATCTCAGAAATGACTTTAGGACTTCTGCTTCATTTTTCCTGCTCTGAAGGGAGAATCACAACACAGACTGTGCAGGGTGGATGTGGAGATTAAATGATATAACAATTCATAGTCCTCAGTTGGGTTATTTATATCCAAATCTAAGTGGCTGAGGAGGAAAGGGGATTTGGGGACAAGGGGGTCATTTGGGAGCAGGGGTTGCCTTCAGAGGACAGTATACAAATGGCACATTTTTGTGCACTGAGGTGAGGACACCCATTTGTGTCACGATGCGCTCATGAGCTTTGGGGTTTCCTGACCTTTTTTATGGTTCATGAAGTAATCCTGGCCATTCCTCTACCTCCAACTACCCTGGAGTTTTCCTCAGCCCACAGAGCAGCCTCCCTTATGTCAAACTCAGTGATTCTCCAACCTTCTCTGCCCCTTTGTTTCCACCTGTTGCATCTTTCCCACCAGCTAGCATCCCATTCCTAAATGAGCATCTGAGAGCATCGGAGCAACTTCTTGCTCCAGGGTACGTGATACAATTTGTCCTAAGCCTGTCTGCAGTGTCCTCCAGGGCACAGGCAAAGACCTTTTATGGGCGGGTTTATTTCTTCTGGGCCGTTCCCCACTTATTTTATCCTGTTTTCTATTCACTGTGTTTGTTTCTTGACAATGCTGTTAAAAACTTAGAAATCTCCTTCTCAAGAAAATCCAGTTCAGCCTGGGAGATGGAGGAATGCTCTTCTAATAGAGATGTCATATTTCTGCCAACATAGGGTCACCTCCACAGATCACACAGGACCCCACATGTAGAAGGACCACAGACTTGGTTTAATGGCTGCTGTCACCATTTTGAAGTTCTGAATAATTTTTTAACAAGTGTTCCCACATTTTCACTTTGAGCCAGCCTGTGTGCTGTCATGTCAGCTCCCTGCCCTGGACCTCCTCTCTGCTAATGGCTACTATGTCCCTAAGTCTTCACTGGCCCACCCTGTGTGAAGTGGCCACATCCTAACTAACACATGCAGTACCGGCCTTTCGGCCTGCAGCCAAGCTACTTAGCTCTCATCTCCAAGCCCCTGCCTCCAGGGTAACCACAGATACACTCCTCTGACCCCTCACCCAGCAAACACTCAGTGCTTAATGTCAAAATGAAAGACGTCCTCTGAGCCATGCGTGAGGCTCCCCATGGTGTCCACTGGTGCGCTGAGCAGCATGAGCAGAAGCAAGATCTGGTGACACTCTGAAGCACTGTCTGTACAGCCCTGCAGTGGGGGCAGGTCTTATCCCTCCATGTTTGTGAGTCCCTGTAAGATGTGAGTAGCCTTCGCAGGCTACTGTATGCAGGTGTGTGTGCTAGTAAGCTTTTCTATGTGTGTATGCTCTGCTTGTGAATGGCGAGGTTTATCTTCCCTGTTCCTGACCCACCTTTCACAGCCCTCACTCCATTATCCACAGGCCAAATCCTGTCCCTCCTAAGACACTAGGTTCACCCCAGCCCCGACCCTACCCAGTGATCAGGCGAGCAGGGGTGGGGAACGGAAGCACTGAGTTACAGCAATCCACCCTTTGCTGAGTAATCTACAGGAGCCTTCCCTTGTGACCCTCACAGTGATAGTAAGTGGCAGGCTTTGCTGATGATATTGTATATTAGAAGGAACTGAGGGTCACACAGATACACATGCCCAAGGTCACCAATCACTAGAGAGCCAGGGGTTGAGACCTGGGTTTACTGGCTTGAAAGTCAAGGTCTGTTCTCCACCCTGGCTGATCACCGGCAGCCAGTGTTTCCCCTGAACAGCTCAGCTGAGCCCCATTGGTTCCAGCCTAATGAATTTAACTACCAGCAGTGCTCCTGGTTATCACATGGTCCAGGTAAAGAGTTTTTTCCCTCTCTGGCCTCAACATTCTCATCACCAGGTGACATTTAGGGTCCCTTTGCAGCCCTAAAAGCCCAAGATCCTCCTGGGAATTTTCCTCACCTCATAGCAAAATATCTGCGTTGTAATGAGTTTGTGATAAATGAGCCTCCACACCATCTAGACTGTTATGCAGAGTACTTAGCTTGAGGACAATGACTGCAGACAGGGGGAGGGGGACCCATCTGGGGGTAAGTGGCTGAGGTTACTGTCCCTCCTCTAGGACAAGCAGTGGTAGGACAGGGGGCTACCTCCCCCTATCAACCCCCCACCCCACCTCACCCAACCCCAAGGGTTTGAGGCTTAGGAGAGACAGAAAGGATTTTCAATTTAATTTCAAATCCACACTTCTAAATTCGATCAACAAGCCAGGCTAGTTTTGGCTCTTTTCCTCACTGACTCATGTTTCTCTGTCTATCATCTTGGCCTCTCTCTTTTACTGTGTTTGTCATCCTTTTCCCCTCCTCCACCTCACAGGAGCCAGGTCTGCAGGGTGCCGGCCATCCCAGCTCATCCCACTTTCTCCCGCCCCTCCAGCTCTCTCCCCTACAGAGCAGTTACTCCCTCCCGCCCTTTCCCCAGCCCGGGTTATCTATTCTGAGTCTTTTTCTGCAATCTAGCAACTCTCAGAGCTCAAATAACCCCTCTTCTCCACCGTCCATCCTGCCCCTAAATACTCCAGAAACACAGACCCAAAGCCACCCCTTTACACTCTGTCCATGTTCTCGGACCTTGAGTCCCACCCCATTCCCATCCCCCCTTCACAGAGCCAACCCTACCTGCGGCGCCCCAGCTCCGGCCGCCACCCTTCTCCAGAGACCCAGGGGCTGGGGCAGAAGGGCGGAGAGAGGTCCGGTTCTTACCTACGACGGTGAGCCTGGTGCCGGCGCCAAAGAACTGCTCATACGAGCACAGAGACCCAGCCCCGCACGCAAACCCCCTGCGCCCCAGCCCGTCTCCAGCTCCGGGTCCCGGGTCTCCGGGGCCGCTGGGGCGCAGTGTAGGGGGATCAGGTGCTCAGAAGGCGAAGGGCCCTGCGCCGCAGGCTCCCATCCCGCCCCGCCCCGGGGAGTCCCGCGGCCACTCACCCAGCACTGTCAGCCGGCTGCCGGCCCCGAAAGTCAGGGTTGCGCCCGCAGAGCATAGCCGCGGAGCCCCCCACCAAAACCGCCCGCGCCCCGCTCCCCGCGCCCCGCGCCGCTCACCTAGCACCAGGAGCCTTGTGCCGCCCCCGAAGTACTGGGTCTCCCCGTCACGGCCCCCGACCCCCGCACAAAAACCCGCGCGCGTCCCAGAGGATGCCCCCCGCTTACCTAGCACCGTCAGTCGTGTGCCAGGGCCAAAGTACTGCGTGTTTTGGCTCACAGCCTCTGGGCACAGCACAAAAACGGGCGCCGCTACCCGTGGTCCCCCCGGAACCTCCCCACTGCCCTCCTGGTCCCCCAGGCGGCCCCCCTTACCTAGTACGGTCAGCCGGGTGCCCGGGCCGAAATACTGAGTATCTGTGCTCACAGCACCGAGGCCCAGGACAAAAACCCGCCGCTGACCTCAGCTGCTGCCCCAGACTCAGTCAGGTCTCCCCTCCAGCGGCAGCGGGCACCCCATAGCTCACTCAGCACCCAGAGTCCCTTCAAGGGCCGCCCTGCCTCTGAGCACAGCCTAGGGCAGCTGGGGAACTGCCCCCTCTCTCCATCCTGCCCCTCGGAGCGTTCTGGACCCCCAGCTGTCCTCCTTACCTAGCACAGTCAGCCTGGAACCTTGCCCAAAGGACAGCTGTCCGGTGTTCACACAGCCCCGGGGACCCAGGCGCAAACCCCACCTTCCCAGACCTGGGCCCCTTGGAGGGCCCAGAGCCCCCTCGGTGAGGGCCAGTGTTCAGGAGATTGTCCAAGTGAGAGTCCACCCTCCCTCCCACGCGGCTTCTTACCTAGCACCGTGAGCCGGGTCCCTGGCCCAAAGTTCTGCTCAGCATAGGAGCACGGTGGGAAGGGGCTGCCAAGAATTCCCTCTCCCCCTCTCCCGCCCCCCTCCATACACACACACTTCCCCATCCCCCTTGGCCCAGTCTAAGCACCTCCCTCCTCCTTCCTGGCTTCTCACCTCCCAGCTCCAGATGTAGCTGGACATGGCAATCTGGACACTGGGTGAGATCACCCCCAATTCACAGAGGAAGTCAACTTGGCTTGCGGGTAATACAGTGGCGGTGAAATTTGAAGGGTATTGGTGATGGTTGGGCTGGAGTGGGGAAGTGTTCCAGACTAGATCCTGCCTCATGCTACTTATAATCCCTGTGGATTAGCTTCTTCATTGGAAAAGATGGTCTTTCTTTCCGACTGGACTGCTGTGAGTTCTTGGCGAATGATGCATGGGTTAGGACTTTGTCAAAGGGCAGGTTTTAGAGAGGAGTTGAATGAGGATCCCACATTGCTGCCTTGGCCCTTGGCATTCTGGGAAGTTGAGTCTGGAGCAGTGAGATGTAGAGGTGTTCACAGAGTCAGTGTCCCTGCTAGACCAGCCCCAGAGACCTCTCCCAGCTACTCTCCTCTTCAGGGAGTGAGTCCCCTGTGCTGGGTGGGCCTATTTTCTGAGGCAGGGCTTTTTGTAAAAGCACCTCCTCTACTTGAATCATTGTGCCCCCCCCCCCAGTTGCCACAATGCTACACCACGATACAAAAATGTTATCTCCCTTCTGGTCCCCCTTCCCCAACCACTGGGCCCAGGCAGGAAGCACAGGTGGCAGAGGTTGGTTTGACTGAGTGGGGCTGGGAAAAGACAAACTCAGAGTACACTTAGAGTGGGGAGGGGCTTGGGAAGGTCCCCCTGCCAGTGAGGTTGGGGGCAGAGAGGCTGGAACATACACAACTTTGAGGAGGTCTCCTATGTCATCAGGTTTCCCCTCTGGGACTCACCGTGCCCACCTGCACATTTATAGCCAGGCGATGTAGGAGGAGCGAGGGGTGGGATCTATAGAGCAGGTGATGGCAACTTATGGCACCAGGACAGCACCCCAGAAACCTCTGTAATTCCCCATTGCTTCCTGAATGAAGTCCAACCTCTTTAGCCTCCATTGATTTCACAGACATTTAATAAGCATCTACTATGTCCCAGGCCTCATGCTGCTCCATCTTCCTTTCCACCTTATGTTTTATGACTCCTGTCTCTGAACCTTGTACTCAACTACACCAAAGTACCCAGAAGTACCCAGCCCCATTGTTTCAACTTTTGTTTATGCCTCTGACTGTCAAGACTACTCCCATTCTTTCTTTGAAGAGTTTTTCCAGCTTCTCAGACTCTTCCCAGTCAGAAAGTTGAACACTAGCCCCTGACTGTATTTCAGTAGACAGCTTGTATTGCTGTTTCAAAGCTTCGCCTGTAATTCAGCTATTTCTAATTATGAATTATCCCCTTTTTAGCTTGGAGACTCTGACTTGGATGTCTTTATTTTCTTGAAAGTTCATAGCAAAACATTGTAACCTATGTACTCAATTAGTGCATACACACACACACACACACACACACACACACACACATATATATATATATATTAATGTACTCAATGTACTCAATATATTCAAATATATATATTTTTTGAATGTGTGCATGTATTACAATAGAGAGGCTGTGTTCTGTAGTCGTGTAGATGGCAGGGTATGTGGGTATTTCAGGCAGGCTTGTGGTGATACCTGCTCCCAAATTGGGTCACTTTGAGCTCACTCATTTATTCATTCACTTATTCAAATATAATTTATTGGGTTTCTACACTGAACTAGGGTACTATGCCATATCTCAGAGATGCTGTAGTAGAACACAGCCTTGTTATCAGGAGGTGACCATCAAATGGTGTTGTCAGACAAGTGAAGAGGTAGTATCCTTCAAATGTGGTGGAGGTGTGCTCAACGCACGATGATAGCAAAATATAGGGTGCATTTAACCTTAAGAGAATAAGGGACAAGGAGCTCCAGAGAAGGCCTCTTGAGGGAAGAGACTGAGCCAAATCTTTAAGAATAAGTAAGTAGGAATCAGAGTACTCAGTCATTCCAGGTAGAGGTGGGCAAAATGGTCTGGAGGCAAATTGCTCAGAGGATTTGGTGATGAGAGGAGTGAGGTGAGTGTGGAATAAGAAAGTGGAGGACTTTCTTATTGTGGGTCTTTCATGCCACCCTAAGAATTTTGGACTGCATGATGATGGTGACAATTGAGACAGCAAAGAACTTTTGTAGGATTTCTAGAAATAGCAATAGGGTTGATCTTGGGTTAAGGGAACCTTTATTTTCTATCCTTCTGGGTGTGATCAAGGGACATCTTCACAACCACTAGAGAGAATTATATAAACTATAAAATTTTGTAACTTAAACTGAAGACACAGCTGCTGAGGATAAATCTCCAGGCCAGTGAATTTTTCTCTCAGCTGGGAAACCTGGTTGGTGATGAATGGGGAGGAGAAATGTGCCCAGTGAGACAGCTGACAGGGACAGGAATGATATATATGAAACCAGGCTTTGTTAGCCAGGGGGACATGACCAGTTGGCAGGGGACAGTGTTTAATCTGCTCATTCAGTAGGTCAGCTCTTAAGTAGGTCAGCTCTTCCACAGAGCACCTTTGTCCAGGTAGGTCAGAAGATTCCTATGGTCAGCATTACCATTTTTCTAGGCTGTTTAGGAGTAAGCCTCTTCATATCCCATCACCACCTTTCACATTTCTTAAGTTTCCCACAAGAAGGAGCAGTGCCAGCCACAAGCTGGGTCCGTGGGTACCTGAGGGGACTGCACTTTCCTTGACTACCTCTTGTTCTATCCTAACTGGAGTCCATGGGAGTTTAGAGATGGAGAAAAGAGATACATAGACACTCAAGGCAGAATCAAGCCAGAACAGGCCATTTTTATTGGTTCAGTCAATGTAGGCACACCAGGATCCCCTGGGGTTAGGGAGATTTTAGTCATGAGGGTTCAGCTGTGCAAGTATATAGCGAGTGGATATAAGGATGAATTGAGAGATTGAGACAGCTCTTCAGAAGCACTGGCTAGGAAGGGGAAAAGGGGAATCCATGTTGGGAATATAATAGGCTGGAAGTTCCTGGCTGCACCTCGGAGCTGGTGTCAGGAATCCTTTCTCTTGACCTGAAGAAGAGAATAAGATTTTGGAGTTACCTGGAGTGTTGGAGACTTAGAGGAAGCAAGATGGCCTACTGGCTAGATGAACAGGGCTCCTCATTACTAAGTTGTAGGTGACCCTAGCTTCTCCTCTCATAGTTCTTCCCTTGTGATTCTTGGAAGTATATTAGGTAAGGCATTCCCAAGAAATGTGGGTAAAGCCCCTCTTCCTCTCCTCCCACCTCTGGTCCTGGTTCTGAGTTGCTATGTTTGGAGTGTCACCTCCAACCTGCCTGCCCACCCTACCCTCCTCCTCACCATGGCCATCAGCACCAGGGCGCTGACCAGCACCGCATACACAGTGGCCTTCCCCAGCAGGATCTCATAGAGGATGGTGGCAGACAGGACCCCTTGCTGGTAGGATGCTGTTGGTAGGAAATGAGAAGCAAAAACATACTTTTAAGCAGGTATCTCTGCCCTCAGCCCCCACCCCAGAGACCATGGGTCCTCCATCCTCTGGTTCCAAAGACCAGGGGAAAAAGAGAGAGAGAGAAGTAAAGGGTCACGTACCTGAGGTGAAGCCACAATCTGAAAGAAAGAAGAGAGAGGGGAATGAATGAGCAGATGAAACACTGTCAGCCTTGTAAACAGCACACTTCAGGCCCAGACCAGAGGAGTCTAGCACTGCCTTCCTGGGTGCCCGTATAGCCACACCATCCTTGAAATTCATGAGACACACGTGGCAACTCTGAAGGGGATGGGGACACACCACAGAGATGCTGAGCTGCCCAGGCCAGTAGTAAGGGGCCCAGCTGCAAGGCTGTGCTGGCTGGGGATCTGAGGAGGAATTAGCCCAAGGTGCCTGTTCTGCTTCATGGTAGGCTCTCATCTTCCCACCCAACTCCTTTAAAAAAAAAGAACTAGCTGAAACCGTTTTGGCTCAGTGGATAGAGCGTCGGTCTGCGAACTGAAAGGTCCCAGGTTCGATTCCGGTCAAGGGCATGTACATTGGTTGCGGGTACATCCCTGGTGGGGGATGTGCAGGCAGCTGATCAATGTTTCTATCATCTACGTTTCTAGCTCTCTATCTCTCTTCCTTCCTCTCTGTAAAAAAATCAATAAAATATATATTTAAAAAAAAATTCTAATCGGGTCTTTGTCGCCTTCTACCTGGATCTCCCTTTCTCTCTGGCCTGACTCCCTCCTTGTCTAACCCACCCAGGCTCTGCTCACCTGCTCTGCCCCAGGCCTCAGCACTGACATTCTGGGTGATGGCTGTGGGCCGGGCGTCCTTGTCTGCCTCATCTAGCCCAAAGAACTGGACTTGGCAGCGGAAGTGGTTGTGAGGATTGTGCCAGAAGGTAGCAGAGACCCTGAGCCGGCTGCTCAGACAGTAGGTGGAGTTCTCAAGGTGGGGCTGCTCCTTGTAGGGCTGAGGGTCTGTGCTGACCCCACTCTGGATCTCCTTCCCATTCACCCACCAGCTCAGCTCCACGTGGTCGGGGTAGAAGCCTGTGGCCAGGCACACAAGTGTGGCCTTCTGTGTCCGGGCAATCTCTGCTTCGGATGGTTCGAACACATTGACCGTGGGTGGGTTCACCTGTTCCAGGTCATCTGGAGGGAAAGGGGGGTTAGGAATAGAGCTGGTCTGAGAGCTGTCTACATTTGGTAGGGGCTGTGTGTACTTTTATGTGGGTCTATGGAAGAAGGTCAACATAAAGCAACCTTATGTATTAGATCCTGTTTGTTTATAGGTCCCATTCTCTGTTGTCATTCTCTCTGGACTTTTCCATCTCCTTCTGAGTTACCCCAGGAAGTGACTATCTTCTCTAGCTCCCGAAAGGGACATTCTGCCCCAATTTTCTTGTATTTCTTTTCAAAGTCTCCCACTTAAGGCCTTGCTCAGTTATCTATCAGAAGAGTAGATCTGTCTATCCTTCATCCTTGTTCAAAGCCTTCTTTGGTGCACGATGTAATCTTCGAGATTTAGAAGTGGTTATAGCAGAGTTGAATGGGCCTGGATTTTAAGGCAGAAGATTCTCATTAGCAACATAACCCTGGGAACTAAACTGACTTTTTCTAATTAGCATTGCACCTGTTTTGTAAGGTGTATATGTTTGTCTGTTTGTATGATAGCACATATAATAATTATTCTTTCTTACCTAGAAGAGATACCTTTCCCATTGCATCTGACTATATATATATATTTCTATATACTATGTATACCCAACTCAAAATTTTTTCTTTTCTTTATTTTTTACTGTGTAACTTGCCAAGGTGCCCCTGGCTATTATCTTTTCAGATGTTCCACATTTCCTCCCAGGCTGTGAAATACGGGGTTCGTGGTAGCTTGCCTGGGATGGCTGTCATCTCATGAGATATACCGCTCGCAGATTGAGCCCTTTCTTCCTGCCAGTGCCCAGCAAGTCTCCCTGCCAGGGTTGGAATCTTATTTCACAGCCAGCCTTTGCATTTTTAAAAGCAGCAAGACCTTAGTTATTGGGTAGAAAATTTTTTTTTCCAAAGTCTGAAGGCCATTTCATCAGTGTAAACCCCTGGGCCATTTTACAGTTTGACAGAAGGGAGAGAACTGATATATTGAATTATTTGAAGGCATTTTCCCACCTGAAGACACAAAGGGATGGAAGACACCACAGCCATCTTTCAAGCACCTTCCTTTTTGTCAGACTTTCCTGCTCCCTGTATTTGCTTCTGTTTTGACCATGAGAGTGAGTTTTTGGAATAGAAATGTGGCAAATCCACATATCTCCACTTTATCCAAATTTTAGACATGCTTCTTATGAGAAAGTTGAAACACAGGTTTGGAAAAAGGCAGACAGTGACACAGCGATGATCAACAATAGGAATGAGAAGGATGGTCCTAGAGGTGAATCCTTTTCAAAGGATTTTCACATACGTTAGTCCCTTACAGTTGAAGGACTCCAAGAGGCTGGCATTGTTATCTCTGTATACCTCTCACTTCCTAATTCCATGAGTCCCCTGCCCCTGAACCTAGGCATTATGAATCCCAGTGATGTAAACTCTCCAATTCCATTGTACTCCCCATCTGTGGAACAAAGCCTGATCCAGCCAACCAACCTGCCCCCTTCCTCCAGCCCTGACTGAATCTCCAGCCAAGATCCATCCATCTTTCCCCCGCTTCTCCTAACTGTCTGATTCCTCCTAAGCACGGGCCCTTAGCCTGTAATCTTAGCACAGACCCTGAGGTTTGAGAAAATGAGTCCTCCTACCTATATCCCTTCTTTATACCTGGTCTGTTGGAAGATGGTATAAGCTTCCCATTGTAATGGTTAATTTTGACTTACCTCATCTAACCTCCACCACACACAGTGTCCCCCAGAGACTCCCCTGCAGTTCTTACAATGCCGTGACAGGCACTTCTGCCTTTGGGACTCAGGATCACCCCTCAAACACCCCAGCCTCACCCATCTGGTCCCCCACTGCCTCCTGAGCCCTCAAACCACCCAGGAAGACACACAAGGATCTTTGGAGAAGCCAAGACAGGATTGGTGTGAACAGTGCAGGGCTGGAGTTAGAATGGGAGGGAAAATGGAGATCAGAAAAGAAAGGGAAAGTAAAACAACATAGTAATAAAAAAGCAGAGATGAGAAGAATCCGGAGAACAATGGGAAGGAGAAAGCAAACAGAACCTAAGATTAAGTGTGGAACCCACCACCGAGATGGTGCACAAACACAGTGGAACAAGGAGGAGGCTTCTTGGGCAGGGTGGAGAGGGCCCTGAGTTCCAGGAGGGTGGGCAGCTCTGATCCTGCCCTTACTCCCCATTTCCCTCCCAGCGACTGATCATCATGGTCCAGTACAGGCACCCATTTCCCCCCTCCACCTCAGTCTGGAGCAGGACCCCATACCTGTCACGGTGAGCTTGGTGCCGACCCCAAAGTAGAGGGGCGAGTTATAGGAACACAACGGCAGATAGCTGTGGCAAAACCCACCAGAGGTCTCCCACCAGAGGGCTAGTCTTAGCTCCCTGGGAGCCAGAAGCCACCTTTTCTTGCCTGGGTTCATGGCTCTGGATCCAATAGAATCTATTAGGAGGAAGACCCAAGCATAGAACGGGGAGAGGAAGACTAAATGCTCAGGTGGGGCATATCTACCAATGTAAGAAGAAGGATGAACCAAGAGAAGGGTAAGGAGGCAGATTATACACTGAAGACTGAAACACCCCTCCAGGATAGAAGAGTTTCCTCAGGCCCTTCCATCAGGGCTGGAAGCAGAGACAAAGTCAGGTCTAAGGGACAGTGGCCCCACCACTTCGGTCCGATGCCTTACCTAGGACAGAGAGTCGAGTACCATCTCCAAAATGCTGGGCCTGGTTGCTCCACAGTACCACAGGAGTGTGGAAAACCCTAGAACCTCAAGTGTGGTGCTCTTTCTTCCAGAAGCGCGGTCCACCCAGAATTCCTGGGGACTCTAGTCTGCTTACCCACACTCTTGGAGCCTATTTCTTGCTGTGTTCTCAGTCTCTGTCCTTTCCAAGGAGTTCTCCTAAAACTCCCACCTTACAACACGCTCTCCCCAGGGAAGCCTTTTACTTACCCAAGACAGAGAGCTTGGTTCCACTGCCGAAAAATAGCTTCTCGTTACTTACACAACACTAAAGCCTGGTAAGAAAACTGTCCTTGAGGCTTTGCATTCCTCCTACTCAAGTTCACCTGCCAGCCCTCCTTCCCTTTTCTTAGCAGATTTTTAGCTTTGGGATATGGAGGGGGGACAACTGTGCCACCAGAAATGCTGTGGTAAGAGGACTCATTCAGCCCCGTGAGATCCTCCCTCCTGTGTCCATCCCCTTCTGTGTGAGAGACAAACACAGCGGGACTATGGCAACTCTACCTCCAGAGGCTCTTCATCTACCTTGGCCACAATGGGGCACCTTCCACAGACTCAGGAGATGGACAAGGTGAGCCCTTCCTGGCTGAGACTACTTGCCCCTGGGGAGAGGAACCCAGACTTGGCACACACAGTCCATGGATTTATTGGAGATGGAGCTTGATCCCTCCTGTCTGCATCAAGATCTTTCTGATGAAAACATGCTTTCGCCTAAGCTCATAAGACAGGCTCCATAGGGGTCTCTGCCTCTTCTTGTAAGGTCCCAGCTCTTCAGCCCCAACTCGTTTACACTTGCTTACCTACAACAGTCAGCTGGCTGCCCTCTCCAAAATAGACGGTGTTTCCAGAACACAGCCTCCCGGATCCATTTCAAAACCTCTCTTGTCTGCTGAGCACAGCTTGGATTCCCTTATAGAGTCCCCAGTCCACTTTGGACACCCTGCATACCCTTCCAGAGCCAGCACAGTGACATGGGGAAGAGACACAAGTGTGATCTCCCATGAAATTCAGAGCAGGGGATATGAGCCTCTGTTGGCAAGGGAAGATGGGCCGCCGTTAGGGATCACTATGACCCTCTGGTCTTCTCCCGGCTCCCTCTCCCAGGTAATTACTCAGAGGGACAGCACGACCACTCAGGCTCTGCTCTGAGATTACAAGGGACCTCAGGTGGCTGAGGGCATGTGCTCTTACAGGGACCCTCCTCTGAACTCGATCATAGATGTAGAACCTGGGAGCCAGGTCATATCTTTCTGCCCATGTTGTCTATATTAGTACTCCCTCCCCAGAACCCTCTGAAGACTCAGCCTTACCTATAACCATCAGTCTGGTCCCTGGGCCGAAGGTAACATCATAGTTAAGCACATCAGAATAGGACCACTCTAAAATGCACACTTCGGACCCACTGTCCCTTACCAAGAACCTGGGAAGATCCAGAGCATATCTTACCTACAACTGTGAGTCTGGTGCCTTCTCCAAAGAAAAGTTGAGTGTTCACACAGTGACATGGGGCAAGGAAGAAAACAGAATTGAGGCATGGAGAGGAGGGTCCCTGGCTGGTGTCTGGAAGACTCTGGGATGAGAACGAATTGCTCCCTCCATTCCTGCTTTGTAGGTACTGCACGGAAGAACATATTCAACTTTGGCTTCTGAGGTCATAGAGCATGGCTAGATTCATCCAGAGGGCCCCATGCCCCCTTTTTAAATGTCTCAAAGTACGGGGGCTGGAGAGAAGGTCAGAGTCCCAGAACCCAAAATGTATCTGTCCTCTTTCTTTATAGATTGGGTCACCTTCCATGTACCTTTCCACTGACCTTGTCCTGGGATGAAGGGGTCTCCCTGAGTCCTTCCCCCATAAACCCACTGAGGCGTCCTTCTCACATATGTGCTCTCTGCCTGGAAGCTTCAGTTCTGATCCAGGCTTGTCCTTATCCTTGGCCTTGCCTGGGTAGGTAGACAGGAGTGAGGTGGAGGCATTATGATCCAAGCCACTCTTGGGCCTGTGACTCAAAGTGAAGAAGCTGTGGGGTTGGATCAAGCAGAGATGTTTTTGTAAAGGTTTCCCATAGAAATGAATCACCGTGGACCCCTGTCCCCACAATGTTTTAGCTTTGTACAAAAACGCCCCTCCCATGGCCCCGCCCCCCTCAGAGCCAGGAAGAAACCACCAGAGCAGCTGTTCTTTGAGGGTTTTGGAGTTTGGAGGTAGTGGCATCATCCCCTGACCCATGGTGTGAGATAACAAGGTTCAGACCAGGCTAAAGGTCTCCCTCCTCACCCCATATCTTTTCTTTAGGATATTCTTAGCTTCTCAGAGACATGTACCTATTTTTTTGAGATTGCTTGCCATAGGGCCTGGTTTTCTCCCCAATGCAGCAACCATCCCTCTTGCAGAGTCTGTCATCATAGTGGGGAACCACCCTGCCAGAAAGTGAAACCCCCTTTATACCCTAGGCCTGCCCCTGAGGCTGTGACACTCAGAGACCACGCCTTTCGTCTGAGAATGAGGCCCTAACATCCAGACTCTGTCCCTTTGGCCCCACTCCGAACCTTTAGGGTGATCTGGAGGAGAATTGACCATGAGCTTCCCAGGCTGGGCTTTTCTAGATGTGGCCAAAGAGAGAGCTGTGAGCTCAGCACAATTTGGATATCCACAGAGATGCTGTAAAGTGCTTTCTGAATGGGTGTGGGTAAGGGAAGACCACACCTGTTATTGTGGACCTCAGATGTCAGATAGAAGTCAATGGAGTCAGGGAAGTAGGTCTGAAGAACTGGAGAAATTGTCTCAGGCACATACAATCATAGCCACATAATCAGTCAGTCTTCTCCCTCTTCCCTGAAGAGTAGATACATTTTAAGTTGGTAGATATTTTAGATTTCCTGTGTGATATGACTTTGATTAACCTCTAGTTTAGTGGCCATTTCACCTAATGGAGCTTCCTTTTATCACCTTTCAAACTATGACTAAAAATCTAAAAATCGGGAGGTTGGGGGGAATAAACTTGACTACATAATGATGACAAACTTACATGGAAAAATATACATAGAATCAAGAAGTAAGTGACAATAGGGAGCAGACATTTTCAGTTCTCATCAGAAGGACTAATCTCCCCAATATATGATGAACTCATAGAAATCAGTGAGAAAATAATCCAAAAGCCCTACAAAATGGGCAAAGAACAGACAGCTCAGTCATAGGATCCAAAAGGTGCTTAACCACAGAGAAAAACATTTGCAATGGTAAATGCAAACTAAAATTAGGTGGGAATGTTGCTTTTCACTAATTTGATGAATCTGAATCATGGAAGAATATTCTATTGGCAATCTGTGGTGGAATATGCACTTTTACATATTATACAGTAGTTCCTTCCTTATCTACCATTTTGCTTTCCATGGTTTCAGCTACCTGTGGTCAACCAAGGTCTGAAAATATTTAAATGAAAAATCCCAGAAATAAACAATTTCTAAATTTTAAATTACATGTTGTTCTGATTGCATGAGGAAATCTCACACTGTCCTGCTCCATCCTTCCCTTTATGTGAATCATCCCGTTGTCCAGTGTCTCCATGCTATTGGTGCTCCCAGCCCCTTAGTCACTTAGTAGGTGACTTAGTTATCAGACAGACTGTCGTGGTACCACAGTGCTTGTGTTCAAATAACTCTTATTTTACTTAATAATGGCCCCAGCAAAAGAATATTTATGCTGGCAATTTGGATATCCAAAGAGATGCTGTAAAGTGCTTCCTTTAAGTGAAAAGGAGACTACAATACAATGAGATATTTAGAGACAGACAACATTCATATAACTTTTATTACAGTATATTCTTAATAGTTTTTATTTTATTATTAGTTATTATTGTCAATATCTTACTGTGCCAATATCTTATAAATTAAACTTTATTGGATGTATGTATGTATAGGAAGGAACAAAATATGGTATACATAGGATTTGGTACTGTCCATGGTCTGTCTCAGGCACCCACTGGAGGTCTTGGACTGTATCCTCTTTGGATAAAGTGGAGACCACTGTATTAATTGCGGATAGGAGTGCAAAATGATACAACCCTATGGAGAATGATGTGAAAAATATCTATACAAATTACAAAATGCTTCTACTTTTTCACCCAGAAATTCCACCTATGGAAATGTATCCTGTAAATATTCTTCAATACAAATATGAAAATCTGTATGAATTGTTTGCATTATTTGAAATAACAAAACAATTGAGAAAAACAAATGCCCATCAGTGAGGGACTGGGTAAATAAACTGTAACACATTCACAAACTGAAATATTATTCAATGCTAAAAGAGAATGAAATGTTTCATTTTGCTGTGGGGAGTTCTCTAAGATACATTCTCAACTGGATAAAAGCTGACTGCAGAATAGCATACCCTACCTTTTGTATAACAAAGGGGCAAAATAAGAATTGTATTTTTGTTTGCTTGACTCTACATGAAGTAACTCTGGAAGGGAACAAAAACAGATAAAAGTGATCTTATTAAGAATGAGTGGAGGAGACAGAAGTAGAGTGGAAATAGAAGTAACATTTTTTCAGTGTCAACTTTATTGAATTGATTTTTAAGTCCTATAGCTATATTATCTATTGAAAATGAAACAATAAAATTAAAAAAAACACACACACACAAAAAAACAATAAGCCAAAACTGGTTTGGCTCAGCGGTAGCGTCAGTCTGCAGACTGAAGGGTCCCAGATTGGATTCCGGTCAAGGGCATGTACATTGGTTGCAGGCACATCCCCAGTAAGGGGTGCGCAAGAGGCAGCTGGTCGATGTTTCTCTCTTATAGAAGTTTCTAGCTTTCTATCTCTCTCCCTTCCTCTCTTTAAAAAAATCAATAAAATATATTAAATAAATAAATAAATAAAAATAAAAACAATAAAATACTACATTAAGTAGTATTTTGACATCTGCTTCCTAAAAAACCAACTTGTTTAATTTAGTTATTTAAAAAAATATATATTTTATTGATTTTTTACAGAGAGGAAGAGAGAGGAATAGAGAGTTAGAAACATCAATGGGAGAGAATCATCGAGACCAGCTGCCTCTTGCACACCCCCTACTGGGCATGTGCCCACAACCAGGATACATGCCCTTGACCGGAATCGAACCTGGAACCTTTCAGTCCTCAGGCTGACACTCTATCCACTGAGCCAAACCGGTTTCGGCAAGTAGTTTAATTTATAAAGTCATTATTATTATTTTTTTTAAAGATCAGTTTACAAAAGAAACTTTTATGGTAATGAATTTACTGAGGAAACTTGTGAAAAATGCATATTTCTGAGTAGTCCCAGGAACTCTTGAATTAAAAATTCTGGGAGTGACTTTATTAATTTGTATTTAAATAAACAATCAAGCCCCAAATAACCTGGGTATTTCTATTTCAGTGCCAGGTTTGGGACCCACTGCTTGTCTCCTGACATATAAAAAGACAGGTGTCAGGGTGGAGAACACCAGAGTGCTACCTGGTGGTATCACAAGTTGGAAGCAATGGTGTGGCTCTTAAAATGTAGGAGGAAAAGAGAAAGGGAAGACAGCCTGTTTACTTAACTTAGGGATAGCAGCAAATCTCATACTTTCATAAGCCTGAATTTGTAAAGGTTATGGGTTGCTTTTATCAGATGAATTGTGGTAAGACCTGGTTTTTATTCCCTTTCCACATCGAGAAACCCTTTCATCGATGTAATGACTTAGTTTGACCTATTTCCGTATATTTTCCTGTCTAAGCCCTTTTGCCTAACAATAATTGCCTCTCTCAGTAAGTTTCCTTTGGACCATATAGCTGGGGATCCTCATCCTGACCACTATCACAGCTTCTTTTAATCCTGATAGGATTTGTCCCCGGTTTGCCATTCTGTCACATTCTCATGTGCAGCTTTTTTTTGGGGGGGGGGGGGGGGGGGGGGGACGAGGAAGGGACAGGGCAAAGGGGGGTAAAAAAAAAAAAAAAAGCTTAGTGCCGAGGGGGATCATTCATCAATTTGGGCAGCAGGGGGCAGCCTTTCCTTATTTTTTTAGACCTAAGTAGCTGCAATCTCAGTGTGGCCACTTGAGGGAGTGAGAAGAATGTGGATGGTGCTCATGGGGACCAGTGGAAAGTGGGGTTACCTGTGTGCCTTTCTCAAGATGTGCATTGGCATGTGGGAAGGAGATACATAAATGACATCTTATATATGCATAATCCTTAAAACTTTCAAGCACGAGGTTACACTCATGTTAATCTAAAATTTGTCTCCTAATTTCCTCAGATGTAACTGAAACCTGAGGCTAAAAGGATTGCTAAAGTCATGCCCGATGCAGAAACAGAGCTGGAATAGGCACTCAGGCTTCCTTACGTAAGGCCTGGCGCTCTGTAGGTGCCATTGCACCTGAGGCCACTGAAGGCCCTGCCCCTTAGGGAAGCCCACCTCCTGGATCCAGTCTGCTCGAGCCCCCACCTAGGCCCTCCACCAACACCTGTGAGACCTTCAAGCCCCAGTCTCTGTATCTGAGAAATGGGAATAGTAACAATGACACCTGCCTTAAAGAGTTCTTGTGAGAACTAGATAAGATAGATAATGCCTGTAATGATTTAGCATGGTGCCTGAAATAGTAAAAATGTCAGTTACGACTATTTTCACAAAGAATACAGCTAGGAATCCCTCTACCGCATTGGTTCTCAGGCTTTAGCTTGCATCAGGATGACTTGGGAGGCTTGCCAAAATATGAGTCGCAAAATACGAGTCGCAAAATACGAGTCGCAAAATACAGCACATCCCAGAATTCCTGACTCAGAAAGTCCGAAGTAGGACCCTGGAATTTGCACTTGTCCTAAATTCCCAGGTGCTGCTGGTTCGGGGACCACACCTGGAGAACCATTCTTCTGGAGGCTCTGTCTTTATTCAGTACATTTCCCTCTACTCCTAGGCCATAGTTTATTTATTCAATCACTGGGGACCTATTATATTCCAGGCATTGTTTAATTGCTAGATATATCAGGATGAGCAAGGCAAGATTTCTTCCCCAAGGAGCTCACCACCGAATGCCAAGGCAGATGTATCTATGTTTACTCAGTGGCATGAGCAGGACTGTGACAGACATCAGTGAGGGTCAGAAGGGGGGATCCTCATTCAGGCTTTGAGGGCCAGTGGCACCAACACAGAGGTGAGGGGAAGAATCGGGAATAGGAGGAGTTGGAAAAGACCTTTCTGAAGAGGGTGAAGGGGTGGGTGGGAAGGCCATTGAGCAAGATGGACAGTAGTGTCCAGAGTTAGAGGTCAGAGGTGTGTGGCTCGTTGGAGGAACCACCGGGACTTCAGA